TTATTCCATAGGCCATTCAAAAGCTCATCTCCCTCAGGAACTCTAGAGGTATTGCCAATTTTACAAATACATTCCAAAAGTCTGTTAGTCTACACAGATGTTTGTTCCTTTTCTATTACAAGCCGAGCATGCACTCCTTGCTGGTAGCTAACAACCTGGAGAGTTTTGCAATCATGAATGCATGCTCAAATGCATTTGCAAAAGACCAGGGTACATGGAGCCCATGGGGACTGCCTCATTTCTGGATCTGGCTTTCTACTTCTCAGGACAGAGAGAGGGAGCCAGGTATAACTTTGTGTGCACAGACTGGGCCAAGATCCATCTAGTCAATTCCTTTGGCCTTTGTTCAGAAACTGATTCCCCCATAGTACCCTTTAATTTATTATTATTATTGATTTTTGTTTCCTGGGAAACAAAATATAACTCTAATTAGAAAATGAGGCTACATTCCAAAGCTTCAGACTCCATCCTGCATCCCTGACTTTTCCTGAACGGTTCTGGACTCTCAGTAACTTGATATCTGATACCCCAAACTCTCCTTTTGTCCTGACCTCTGCTGGAAGCCAGTGCTGAAGTCTGAGTCTTCTGCTTTTTATCTTCCATCTGCAGGGTGATTATATTGTGGGGAACTGTCAGGGAGAGATGTGGAGACCTGTCCCTCACAGACATCTGCGGGACTCAGATTGGATCTGTGCTCAGGTCTGCCGAAAACAAAAGACAGTGACTTTGGCTTTGAGATGGAAACCTCTGCCAAATACACACATAGGTGTTCTCCCCACAGACACCCCTTCTCTCTAACAAAATGCACTTGTGAACATATTCATGTGCACACACACACACGCACACACACACACACACACACACACACACACATACTCATGGATGAGAAGGTCTGAAAACTCCCCACATATGGCAAACATATTTAGGAGAAGCCCTATGACTACAGGCCAGTGGGAGAGGAAGAAAAAGAAAATAATGGGGAAAATCTTCAATATGCCTAAACTGTTCCAGTCAGGCTGCTGAGAAAGAATGCAAAGGATTGCAGATGAAAATTATTGTTAAAATCAGCATTATAACATAGCCAAATTCTTTCCCCATTTTAAATGATTACTAGGACTTTTTCTGATGTACAACCAGGGCACATGGGAAAATCATCATTTAACCCAATGGCTATACCTTAGAACACCACGTTATATGGTAGAAAAAAATATTCTTATCTAACTCAAAATTTCAAAAACTATTTGTGAATAATTGTATGGTGGTGTCAGTCATAAATGACTTAACTGGCTTCAGTTCCCAAATCTTGATAATTATTTAATACGTTTATGTTCTCTCTGTTATATATTTACCAACCAAATGCCTACACACCACAAAACTGCCAAAATAAAGGAAGCAAAAGCGGGGGGGGGGGGGGCTAAGCATTACACAATGTAGATAAATGAACTATACATTATCTGTGACCTGTCTCTTATATTAGGACTTGATTGATCAAAATTTCTCAAAATTAATTTTTTTCAATACATGCTTCTGAAAGTCATCGATGAAAGTCAAGTAGATCACAAACACAAAATAAACTGGTGCTAAGTTTATGTCACCCTAGCAGTGTGGCAGAAAGGCTAGCCTGCTGTCCTCTGGGGCCCCACTGTTAAAGTCTTAGCTAAACTGGGGTAGCAACTGACCTCAGGGCAGGCAAGAGGCTCTGTTCACACCTCCTAGTAGAAAGATGCCTGCAGTTACCACACAGGTGATGGACTGACACTCTGTGAGATGAGGGCCAAAAGCCTAATGGGCGTTTCCCACTGGCCCCCTGCCTGAAGTTTCCGAGGAAAGAGCACAGGGAGGGTCGGCAGGCAGGAGCAGGGGAAGATCCTGCCCCATTGATTTATAAACATGATCACACACTCTTCTCACAGATATAACAAGATGACTCTTTTCTGCCCCTGCTTATTTTAGACTTTGCAGGTTCACTATCTCATATCTTTTTAACATTTACTATTAAAAGTCAAAAGATTACACATGTTGGCAAAATGTGGGAAAAGGGAACTTCCTCCAGGGATTGGTGGGAGTGGGAAGTACAGCCATCTTGGAGAAGGGTGTAGAGGTAACTAAAGGAGATCAAATAAAACACCTACGTGACCCTATACTGGGTCCCTACCCCAAGACTGCAAAATCAGGACTTCAGAAGTACCTGTCCTTCCGTGCTTATCACAGCACCTTTCACACGCTACAGACCCACATGTCAAGATATGAACAAACCCGCCTGGATGTCCATCAACAGACTAATATACAGCTACTATAGAATACTAGTCTGTCTTTAAGAAGACGGAATCTTGTCATTTGCAACAATATGGATAAACTGGATGGGCATGTGCTAAGTGAAATAACAGAAAGGTATAGAAAGACAAATGCCTGCTGGATCACCTACAGAATGGAAAGAAACTGAACTCATAAGCAGAGAGTAGAATGGTGGTTATCAGGGGACAGTAGAGGGAGAAATGGGAGATGTCAGCCAAAGCGTAGGGGCTGCAAATTATAGTTAGACATAAAGAACAACTTCAAGAGACCTATTGTAGAGTTGGTGAGACAGCTCAGCAAAGGCATTTAGCACACAAGTCTGACAGCCTGAGTTCCATCCCTATAACCCATAATGGAAGGAGAGATTTGACTTGCAAAAGTGTACACACATGCACACCAAAACAAACCCAAACCAACAAAATACTCAAAGTATAGACCTGGGTAGATGACTCAAAAATAATTTTGGGATTAGATGGTAATGTATATTTATCATCAACTTCAATAAGTGTAATAAAAACATGGTATTTCTATACAACATTTTCTTAATTTATAGAGAGGTACACGGAAATATTTAAGGAATGTTCTGATCTCTCACTTAAACAGTGCAAAGTTTCTTACATTGTGGGTTACTCTTTCTTAAGTGTTATAAGCTAAAGAAATTATCTCAATGACTGTACATTTTATATGCTTGTAGAGGTCACCATCAAAAGTCTGTTACAAAGAAAGAAATATTTATAATATGCTAATGTGATATTAAAATATTATCAAATGGAAATTATTCCTGGAGGAATGAGCCGAAAATACAATTGTTGAATGTGGCTTTAAAATAGCCATTAATTTCAAGATTACTTCAAAAAGCAACTTGGCAAGCAGTTATTGTGGGGAGATTAGACACATTCACCCCTAAGAAATATGGAAATAGGAACTTGTGGCTGAGAATGCTGTTTTTAGAAATAAGATCAAATAAGGATCAAAGGAAAGCCTGTATCAAAACCAGCTTAGAGAGAGTGAAGCTGATGTGCTCTGAGGTGACTCAAGAGGTGGCTTGAGGATGAGCAGCTCTGCAGTGTCAGAGGCAGGTGGAAGGGCTGAAATAAGCTGGAATTATAAACTATAAGCAGTTCTCCAGAAAGAAAGTGAAGTGCTTCCAAGGTAGGATGACTGACAAGGCAACAGGACTGGGAACCAGCAGCCTGAAGAATGTAAGACTGGGGCAGGGCAGATGACTCAGAGGTTAAGAGTACTGTCTGCTCTTGCAGAGGACCAAGGTTCAGTTCCCAGCACCTACATGGCAGCTCATAACCATCTGTCACTCCAGTTCCAGGGTATCCAGTCCTCTCTTCTAGCCTCCACAGCCTCTGCATGCACAAGGTGCACATATTCACGCTGACAAAACACCCATGTACATAAAATAAAAATAAATAAGTCTTTTTTTAAAAGTAAAACTATAGGATAAAGATAGCATAATAAATGTATGCAAATATTTGATAAGTAGGTGTGCAGAAGATACAGCTGATTTATTGGTGCTTTTTAAAAAGCAGAAGTTAATGAATTCATGGAAATTATCAAGAAGTCCACATTTGCCCAATATAGACACTTTACATTTATCCAACATTAAACTTGAAAAGTCATAAGCAAAAGCTTCCTGGTCAATTGTAAATCAAAACTAAACTAGGTAAGTTGTCTACATGACCTGTTTAATGATGACATCATTTCACATGTGTATATGAGTGACAAGCTTAGATTGATGACTATTTTTTTAAAGATATTCTTCACTTAATATGTGTGCATTCATGTATGTCTCTGTGTACTTGTGTATTTTGCCATGCTGGGGATTCAACTCAGGACTTTGAACATACTAGACAAACATTCTACCATCGAGTAATAAGCCCCTACCCTATTTGCTTTCAGCTGGTTCCTCTGTATGATTCACTGAAGTAAATTCTGGGCTAATAAAAACACATGTTAAAACTTACACTCAGTAGAAGTGTATGATCAAGAAAAGGGACCCCTTGACCGAGGCTATGTTGCAGGTTAAAGCAGATATGTAGTAAGGGTGTGATCCAGGAGGAGTTTTTATATTCTTTGCTAGTGTGTATCTAAATTGCTCTGTCTCTGGGCAAGATCTCTTCCTGCCTAAAGATAAACTGACTCATCCATAGTGAAGGTATGAGTCAAATATTTTGGCTTTATTTATTTTGGCTGTCTGAAGACTTTCTTGGCTTGTACACAAGACACTGGGGCTTTGTCTTCAAATTTCTTGGCTTGTTCCATCAAATCCTTTCAAAAGCTATTATACCAAGAATGAACAATGACAATTATCCAATAGGCCTTCCAAATTCAATATCCAATAAACCACCATTGGAAGTATAAAAAGTCATTGGTCACAAAATTCAATCCTGATCCCAGGGAGATTAGTCAACAGTGGGAAGTTATTGTATCCAGCACAGAAAAATGATCCCAGTGTCCAAGAACTAACGGGACATAACCTTGGGGTGGATGAAAGACTATAAAGTATAGCAGGAGAAAGTTGAAAGACAGTACTGAAATACAAGGATATTTAGTGATATGAATGCATGTAAATAGTAAACTGGAAACATCACACTAGATGATGTCATGCTGGAATAATTAAGAAGAGATTGTGAACAGGAGCTTAGAACTATGAAAAAAGCCAAGTCCTCTGGGCTCTGGTCTGAGAAGCCGACCTGAGACTGCTGGAAAAGGATACTTTTCTCTGGGTTTATGCCACAGGCAAGAAGAACAGCAGTCATGTCCAGTGTGCTCTGCTGGAGGACGCTAGGGTCCTGGGGGACGGTGATGGAGTGGAGATCAACGATGCTGTATAACACTGTGTCATACTCCTCCTGCAACTTCACCCAGCTCTCAATGGCTCCAAGGTAATTTCCCAGGTGGGGGATTCCTGTAGGCTGGATGCCAGAAAATACTCGTTCCACACTGTCCTTCTGCAACAAGGAAAAGAAAAACAAACATAGTTGCTTTGGAGACAGCATCCATGAATTCTATGTACCTATTACCATATAATCTTATCTCTACGGACTGCAGCCTGATGCTCTTTACCATGCAATGCTTTGTGCGTACTTTGTGTAAACCACTATGCTGGGTGCTAGTAGAGACAAATAGACATTAGAAATGTTTTTTCTTACTTCCAAAGCGTACAAAGATGCCTAGGAAGAGGTCTGCTTGGCCAAAACATTGTGATCTAGTTGGTGATAGAGGCTGTATTTATGCAAAGCTGAGGTACAAATGGACAGCAGTTCCCAAGAGGAAAAGCTTGGCTTTGGTCCCAGTGAACCTGTGCATATAGACACCATCTCATTAGAAATTAAATGAGCCTTAGAATTTTGCGTGTGACTTCACTTTTTGTAGTTAAAAAAAAAAAAAAGAAGGCCACATCAGGTTAAAATCCACTGTTAGTCATTTTTTATTGTTGAGATTATAATTTAATAGGTATGGCCTTAGGTTAGAATTAGAATTAAAAAGCATTTCATTTTAATATTTTAAAGTTAAAGTTATTTTCATGCTTATTTTGATGATCATTTAGTTTTAATTTATTAGAATTTTAAAATTCTGCATATTTTTCTAAATTATACAAATATTTTGTCTTAATCATGCCTTTCCTTAGAGTTACATTTTCTAGTGTTGTTATAAAAAATGAGAAGGAAGAAATGAACGAGAGTGAAATGATTTTTTCCTGAGTGGTTTATTGTCATATGGTGATGATTCAACCGTTTTGAACATTTATCAGTAAATGCATTGACTAAAGGTGCTATCAAACTTACTGTTGTTGCTTTAGTCAGCATTGCAAGAAAATCTCAGCCTCCATAACTTACTGGACAGCTATGCTGCTAACATTTATGCTCAGTTCTTTATGTACAGGAATACATTTAATTGTGTGCCTAACAGAGAATGGTTGTTACGCCTTCCACTTTGTAGATGAGAAACCAAAGCTCACAGATATCAACAGATTGTCCATGGTCACACACAGCAAGGAAACGGCAGATGTGGGATTTCAAAGTCTACATGGGGTGGTTTGAATGAAAAAGTCCCACATATGCTAGGGTAGTATTTGTGAACACTTGCTTCCCAGTGGGGGCACTGTTTGGGGGGAGATTTCTGAGGTGCAGCCATGATGGAGGAAATATGTCACTGGTGGTGGGCTTTGATATCACATAGCTGGAAAAGGGCTGTTTTGTCTCCCTGCTCTGGAATGCCATTTCTGTCACACAAAGGTATGAAGAATCTGGTTAGAACCTGAACTGAGAGATGGGTTGAGGCAGAATAGACATCTCTATGACACTACACTGTCCATACATCATACTACAGCTGTATCTTTTTACATAACAATAGCTCCTGAGAGCTAATCTACTTTAAATACGTGAGTGTCAAGGCTACTTAAGTTTTTCTTTTCTCTTTCTCCAAGAACTCCAAATTTGACAAATATAATCTGTTTTTTTTTTTTTTCAGCTAGTAAGATGACAGTGCCAAAGTAGGATGTTACATCATATCTCTATGGTCCAGCATCAAGAATCTGGTCCAAGCAGTCAAGAGGAGATCCAAAAGATTTGTAGCTCTGAGGATATAAAAATGCCATTCAAGGAACTATGAACAAGTATAATCAAACCACTCCCAATCTCATCCCTGCTTCCCACACATGTACCCCCTTTAGTAAAATCTTCAAATCATAATTTATAAATGGTACTTAAAAATGTTTTTCAGTTGAGAATTGAGGGAAGTAAAGAGGGAAAAGGGGAAGAGCAAAGGGGAAGGAGGGAAGAGAAGATGGGGTCAGAGAAACAGAGAGGGGAGAGAAAGGGAAGAAGGGAAGAATGAAGAAAGGGAGGGAGGGAGGGAGGGAGGGAGGGAGAAAAGAGAGAAAAGGAACACATAGAGAAGCTTCCTCCAGTACCCAGTAGCTCCGATATGGGAATGAGCAAAGGGTTTTCAGTGCACTGAAAAATGATTAATGGGCATCAGGGCTGATTGATGAAGAGGGAAAAGTAAAGCAGAAAAACAAACTCTGAACTTCATAAATGGAAGCAAAGATACCATCCAGAAATACTTGACCAGGAAGAAGAGTGGCTGTTTATGGTAATAGAAAGGGTTATGGAGACCAGGAAAATTAACCTGAAAAAAAAGAATCTGAATAATTCCATATAAATCCCTCTATGGTCAAAACTCAGAAACTGTGCCCCAGGAGAACTGGAGAAAATAAATTCTTGAGAAGACTAGAAGAGAAAAGCACAAGAGGATCGACTGTGGGAAAAAGACATCATGAGCAGTGGGAACGGATTAACCATGAGCTAAGGCATCTTTTCCATTCTCTGGTTTCTGGGATTCTGTGCATCAATGCACGGGGAATGATGTTACCAAGAAGTAAGCGCAACAAGAAATGTTTTGTTCAGTTTTCAAGGAACTATTAAACAAATACAGCCTCTAAATGGGATCTGGATCTCTGGTCTTAAAAATATACAGAGAGGGTCCTGCTCTTCTGAGCTGAGTTTATGTTGCAGTCTGTTCCTCAGCAAGAGCCAGCAGGCGGTCTGACGGCATGGCAGGGGAGATATGCCTGGTACCATGAGATCACGGAGTTGGAATGTGGAGTTTGGGTGGTGGGAGGATGGGAGGGGGGTTCTGTGTTCAAAAGCACTATAGTCAGAGAAGAATGAAAATGAAAGGAGCATGGGCTTCCCAGTGGACAGCAGGCAAGCCAAAATAAAGAAAGAAAGAAAACACCCCGCCCCCCCCCAAAGAAAACAAAAAAACAGCTCAGGACTAGCCCAGAGGCATGCACTCACCCAGATAGGTGACAGAGCAAAGGGACTGCTTCATGATACCTCCTTGTTATTTTTTTTTGTTTTTGTTTTTTGTTTTTATTTCAGGCATATTTCCTTTACAGAAGCCACCTCCAGGCAATTAACTGGCTCACTTTAGAACCAACACCAGTAACGGATAATGATATAGTCCAGAAAAGAGGGTGGAGAACCCAAAGGTGGCATGGGTTCACCAGTTTCACAGAACTGAAACTCTTCTTACATAAGGCCATGAGCATATCCCAAACCTAACATTTTATTAATGTTAATGACCTCACTCAGAAGCAACTGAAAAATCTCAAACTGTTAATTATTGCAAAAGACAATGCTTGAGACCACTAAAGAGAACTTCTGCTGTTAATCCCAAGTGAGCAGGTTATATCAAAAGGGTAAGGCCACCTACTAGCCATGAAATGGTTTCTTCTTCCGTGTGTGTGTGTGTGTGTGTGTGTGTGTGTGTGTGTGTGAGGGCATTTGTGTGTGTGTGTTTATTGGAGGACACCTTTCAGGACTCAGATCTCTCCCTCTACAATGTCCCTGTGGGTCCTGGGGATCAAATTCAAATCATCAGGTTTGGCAGCAAGTGCCTTCGCCCAATGAGCCAAGGCACAGCACCATGAAATACATTAACTTGAAAACAGTGGTGGGAAACAAAGACTCAGCAGTCCCCACAAAGTCCTTGCCATGTCCACCTAGAGCATCAAATGCTCAGTCGTCAGACTTCTTAACTATGGTCAAAGGAGGCAGACCCAGAACTCAACTGAACAATCTCCATGTCTAGCTGGTTATTAGAATGGCAGTGAAGGACCACCAGGCCAGCCGGGGCTACATAGTAAGAGCATGCCTCCACAAAATGTTTTAAAAAGAATGGCATTTAGAATTATGTATGCATTTCTTTAGCATGTGTGCATGTGTATGTGCACACACTCATGCGTGTCCATATGTTGGGGCACACCTGTACCACAGTGTGTAGTTTCATGGAAATACATCAGAGGACCACTTGCAGGAGTTCTCTTCTACCACATGGATTTTGGGAAATGAATTCAGGTCTTTAGGTTCTGTGGCATGTGCCTTTACCCATGGAGCCATTTTGCTGGTCCAAGAATGGCGATTTTCACAGACTGCAATAAAGTAATAACATTACCAGCTAATGTGGATGGGAATACCTTTCTATAAGTCTGTTTACCTTTTCGGCTGTATATAAGTTAAAAGCACTGTTTAAAGCCCCCCCCCCCCTTAGCACTTGGCTAGATTCTCACTCTGCCATTTGTAATGTACCACTATCTCAGTTCTAGACTCTTGAGACATACTTTACCCCTTCCTGAACATCTTTCTACTGACAGTTAAAGACTTCAGAGTTGAAACAGAGGAGATCCTGTGTGGAAAAATATCAGGTGGCTCTCTGGAAGAGACAGCTGCTCCTTGGAAAGCTTTGACTGTGGCCCAGCACTGCTCTGCTACAGTCCACTTCGGCTTCCATAAAGTATTAGAACCTTGGTCTGTTGAGAAACACTCACTCAGCACCGAGGAAAATAGGTTCAGTTCTGCCTAGAAACAGAACTAGATGCACAGCTGGGAATCAACACAGTAAATGCCCAATTAGGACAAAACAGGGCAATTCTTCAGCCCCCTGCAGCCCCCCACTCCCCAAGAAACAATACACAGGCAACAACTAACATGCAAGGAAAAAAGAGCAAGAAAAGGGAATGACTGACCCATTAGACAGTAAATTCACTACAAACATCTAGGATGAATGGTTATACATTGCTAATCTGGGGAAAGGGTGTAAAAGGGATAAACTTAGATTATCCAATAGTTTCCTACAGGCTTATTTAAACCTCTGATTTCTCTCTTTCTCTGTGTGCACTGTGTCACTTTCATCTTGTGACAGAATGCTTTGGCATCACTTCCCAGTGAAGGGCTAAAGAGCCTGCAGAGAACCAGGTGAGAGGGATATAAGCTCCCCACACCCAACCCAACCTCACCCCACCCCAGTTCTGTGCTCCCTCTCTCAAACTGCCCTGCACTCAAGATTGGCCGGCCTTTGAATACCTCCATTCTTACTACCTCCTGCCCCATTCCATTTCTCAGAGGGGAAAGGTATCCTTCAGTAATGTTCAAAACAAAGCCAA